TTTAATTATCTATTTAATTTTATTTATTTATTCATTTATTTTAATTTGACCAGAGAGAAACAGACAGAGAGAGAGAGAAAGTGAGAAAGCAAGCCACCAGGTCTGGGACTCAAACCATGGTCGGCCATGTGGGAGTGTCCAGCGCCTTAGCCACTATGCCACCTGCTGGTCCCTCCACAAACCTATATTGAGCCCTGGTGTGTGCCAGGCACTTGCTGGACACCGTGAATGCTCTAAATTTCCCTTGCTTATTATTTATAAGATAATAGGAGAAATGAAGCATCAATAATTCAACAAAGGTGATATTGAAATAACTAACAAAGAACTTTGTTATTGAATTTTCTAATGCAGAGGAAAATTCTCCTTTTTTTATATTTGAGAAACTTGGGCTCAGAGAGGTTAATTACTGGTTCCGAGTCACACAGACAGCAAACAGAAGAGGTTTATGGCCCTCAGCACCATTCTGATAGGCCCAGATCCAGTACTGTGAGAGGCAATTCCCTGACCAAAGGTGGATGGATGGGACCCCCCCTACCCCCAAGCCAGGAGTAGATGGAGACTGCTGGGAGGAGTAAGTGGCGAGACTTCTCCAAGTGACTTTTCTCTAGATCATCACTTACCGGGACTACCTGCCCCTGGTGCTGGGGCCAGAGGCCATGAGGAAGTACCTGCCCACGTACCGCTGCTACAATGACTCAGTGGACCCGCGCATTGCCAATGTCTTCACCAATGCCTTCCGCTATGGCCACACGCTCATCCAGCCCTTCATGTTCCGCCTGAACAGTCAGTACCAGCCCATGCAGCCCAACCCTCGCGTCCCACTCAGCAAGGTCTTTTTTGCATCTTGGAGGGTAGTGCTGGAAGGTGAGTGGGACCTAGGCCAGGAGAGAGTGAATTGGCAGCCAAGGACAGGGTGGGCAGAAATCCTTTTCCATTTCATCTTTGAGGGTCTTGTCTAACCTTGCAGTCTCAGTTTACCTGACTCTGCTTCTGTTTATGATAATGAAGAGATGGCTCTCAGAAAGGGCTGGCTCCTTATGTGGTTTGACTCTCTGTGATCCAGGAGGCCAGGGGCTGGGAGCATCCCAAGCTCGTAAGTCTGAGTGGCATGATCCCTGAGACCTTTACGCCCCAGGGATATTGCAGTGCCTGGTGAGGACTTGCTCTCTGGGTCACCTCGGTTCCAGGTGTTACATGTGTCCAGCTCCTCTGCACGCCCCCTGACCCTGCCTGGACTTGTCCCTGACTCCCATCTGAGCTGGATCCTCCCCTCGACCTTTCGTTGCTCTTGCCCCCAGGTGGCATTGACCCCATCTTGCGTGGCCTCATGGCCACCCCTGCCAAGCTGAATCGCCAGAACCAAATTGTGGTGGATGAGATCCGGGAGCGGTTGTTTGAGCAGGTCATGAGGATTGGGCTAGATCTGCCCGCTCTGAACATGCAGCGCAGCAGGGACCACGGCCTCCCAGGTGAGGGGCTGCCTCTACTTTCTCCACTGCACCACCTCCCAGGTAGTCCCCAGGCCTTCCCACTCCAGGTACCCTATGCTCTCCAGTGGCCCCAGTTGCCCCAAGCTTCCCCCAACCTCAGCACTTCGCTCTCAGAAAGTGGTTCAGTTGTCATCTCCTCCTGGTCTCCTTTGCATGGTGTAAGCCTCACTCCTGGAGCGTTGTAGAATAACAATAATCCACAGTCTGAACATCTGTCTCCATCATTATTTCATTTTGTTCATCGTACATGAACTCTGAGGGGAAGAGATAATTATCATCTCTGTTTTACTGATGAGGAGACTGAGGCTTGGAGACATTTTGAACCTGTTCAGATTCTGTAGCCAAGTCAATGACACAGTTGGGATTTGAATCCAGACCAGCCTAACCCTAAAGCCGTGTCTGAGCTGTGGGACAACTGGTTTGTCTAGGCCTTCAAGATGGCTTAGACACTGCATCCCTCATGGGTCAGAGAGAGACAGCTGTGTTGCTTCAGAGGGGACAATGAGATGTCCCTGTTCTTGGGCCTGGCCAGAGTTACGGCAATTTAGGATTCGCCGTAGAGTGTAAGGGCCAGGGAAAGTCAGTGAGGGTCCTAGGATGACCTAGTTGTCCCCTTTAGCGTGAACCAAGGGATCGGGGTTCTCTAGGAAAGGGTCCCCTGTCTCTAGCTATGGCTTGGTGTGTTGAATGTGGGTTTTCTGGGCTGATGACCTATTTGTGAGTCTTCCCTGCTGTCCTTAGTGACCTTTATTTTTTGGAGAGGTTTTTGCTATAAGGCGCACACACTGGCCAGAAAGACAGAGAGAGACAGAGAGAGACAAGGAGACAGAAAGCAGGAAATCCCCCCCCCCCCAGGGGGGATGGCCATGCCGCAATCCCTTCTCCATTCTCCTCTTAGGATCTTGAGTATGCACACACACACGCCTGGCATGAGTTTAAGCCACCGGGTCTGAGACTCGAACCACGGTCGACTACATGGGGGTTCAGCGACATAGCCATTACACCAACTGCTGGTCCCCTTAGTGACCATTCTACCTTGTAGCCTAGATGCCTACCCTCAGCTACTCCCCTCCTCCATGCAGGGTATAATGCCTGGAGGCGCTTCTGCGGCCTCCCAGAGCCCAACACAGTGGGCGAGTTGGGCACGGTGCTGAAGAACTTGGACCTGGCAAGGAAGCTGATGGAGCAGTATGGCACACCCAACAACATCGACATCTGGATGGGCGGTGTGGCTGAGCCCCTGGAGAAGAACGGCCGCGTGGGCAAGCTCCTTGCCTGCATTATTGGCACCCAGTTCAGGAAGCTCCGGGATGGTGATCGGTGAGGCGCTGAAGGGTGGCTTAGGCCTGCTGGCTGGCTGTAGGCTTATTTCTGAACCTTGCTGGGATCCCAACTTCTTCCCGTCAAATGAAGTGCTAGAAGTCAGTGATTTTCCAGTGTGTTCTAGGAAGCCTCAGGCCATTCCTAATGTGCCCTGAACCTGTTGGAGGTGCGACAAGGAGTGACCTGGACTCCTGTTTGTGAAGGAAGGCAGACAGAAAACACGCCACCCTTAACTACTTTCTCTGGGTTCACTATGTGAACGTCAAGGTGGCAGGCCCCGCTGAACAGTCCCCTCCTTGCTTTCTCCTACTTGTCTTAGTGATGTTTCACTGTGGCCTTGACACCTTCATGACAAGTTTTTGTTTCAGGTTGTTTTTGTTTTTGTTTTTGAGAAAAAGACTTTTGCTATAGGGCTTATGTGCTTGCTGGAGAGACAGAGACAGACAGAGAGACAGAAAGTGAGAGATCATCCTTTGGGGGGATGGCCACGCTCCAATCCCTTGTCTTCCATTCTCCTCTGGGATTTTGGGCACATATACACACATGCCCGCTGTGAGTTTCACGCCACTGTATCTGGCACTTGAACTGTAGTTGACTATGTGAGAGTCCAGCACCTTAAGCACCGTGTCATCTGATGGCCTCCATACCTAGTTCTTTTATAAATCATCCCTGTGACTCTCTTCTACTCCCATGGATACAGCTCTGGGCCAGGCATAGGATTTCTTGAGCAAGTATGAACCCAGTTTCCCTAGTGGTGACTGGGTTGGGGTCACTGGGTTGGGGCCAAGGTGGAGACAACTGAGCAGCTGTGTTTTACTCTGGACTGAGGAGGGGACCCCTGGGCTGCCCAAGGGCCTGGAGCCCTCCGGTGCTGCATGGTGGTGTCTTCTGTGGTCCTCTCGTATCAGGAAGTAGATCCAGCCAGTTGGCACCCTCCCCGCCTCAGCTACCATCCCGTGGGTGTTCCCCATGCAGATTTTGGTGGGAGAACAAGGATGTGTTCAGCACCCAGCAGCGGATGGCTCTGGCCAAGATCTCCTTGCCTCGCATCATCTGTGACAACACAGGCATCACCACCGTGTCCAAGAACAACATCTTCATGTCCAATTCATTCCCCCGGGACTTTGTCAACTGCAGTACACTCCCTGCGTTGGACCTGGCCGCCTGGAGGGACAGGGCCTAGAATCTGGGTAAGGGAGTGAAAGGCAGTGAGGGGTATACTGGGAACCACAGAGATCCTCTTCTCCAGGTGAGCTCATCCCTCATCTGATGCTGCTGAGAAAATAAGTGGGCATTCGTGTGTGCGCGCGACGTACGTGTACAATGTTTGTAAGCTGGCATTTCATGTGTGTGTGTGGTCTGTGGACCTGGGTAGTGTTTTGTGTTGTGTATGTGTGTCATCTATGTGAGTGTGTGTTTATGAGAGCAGTATGGGTATGGAAGGCAGCAAAGCAGATGGATAAGGTGCACAGCTCAGGAACCAGACTGCCCACGTTCAAAGCCTGACTCGGTCACTTATAGCTGTGTGACCTTGGGCAAGTTATTCCTCCGTGCTGGAGGAGGAGTTTTCGTCTCTGGAAATGCTAGTTGTTATGGCTCCTCAGAGGATGCCTTTGTACCCTCTAGCTCTCCCTTCACTGGGCACTGCTATATGCCAGCTCACGTGCTGGGCATGGGAAACACACAGAAGAAGAAAGACAGATACAGTTTATGGAGTTCCTGCTCCAGCTGTGCCCTGGGCAGAGGTGACCAGTGATCTCTGCAGGGATGGACCATTAGCAGTTGGGCGTGTGCTGAGTTCTGGGCACGACCAGGTCAGGCTCAGTCCATGGCTCCCTCTTCTTCCTTACTCTGTTCTCTTGTTTATTCACAGGAGCCCGCCGGGAGAGGAACTGGCCTATCGACCTTTCTGTATTATTCGTTTGTACCTGATGTTACAATAATAAAGCACTGCTGATGGGGATCTCTTCTCTGTCTATAACTAGGAAGGGACCGCAGCAGGGGCCTCATTGCGGGCTCTGAACTTGAACCAGTGTGGCCTGTGTCTTGGGCCTATGCTCTGAACTGAGGGTGAGGGCATTGAGTGGTCCTCCTATGGCCGAGCCACACCTGGAGGGCAGTCAGTTCTTAGAAGACTGAGGTGTGGGGCTGGCAGACAGCATGGTGGTTAAACACTTTGAACTCTTACATGGCCGACCACGGTTCGAGTCCTGACCTGGAGACTTGCTCTCTCTCTCTCTCTAAATCTCTGTTTCTCTCTCTAGTCAAAACTGAAAAATAATGATAATAAATAAATAATTCTTTTTAAAAAAAAGGAAGAAGAAGATAGAGGTGAGAGGGTAAGGGCACCAGGCCATGCTTAGTAGACCTTCCTCCTTCCCTGGCATCCCGTAGTCAGTAACTGTGGTCACCAACCTCCCATTTGTCTGGCAGACACTTGCTCCATGTTCGTTCTGGTCAGGCCCATGCCTGGTGCTGGAAGTAGAGGCGACAAAATGTTCTATGGGAGAGAAGGAGCAGAGGTCTGGTGGGAAGATAGGCCTCCCCAGGTGGTAGGGAATTCCTGGATCCTGCTTCCTTTACAGCCTGGTGTGGTGGTTTAGAGGCTCTTGAGAGAGAGAAAGAGAGAAAGAAAGAAAGCCTCCGGGTCTGGGACTCCAACCATAGTCCGTCATGTGGGAATCCAGTCTTTAACCACCACACCACCTGCTGGTTCCAGAGACAGTAGACTCTTTCTCAGTCCTGATTCATGTGGCCAGGCCACCCTCCCCTAAGCAGAGACAGTGGGTGGCTGGACCCAGAATACAAGGCCAGTACTGAGAGAGGGGACGAATATATTTCTGTAGTAGTTTTGCCGGGGCTTGATCCCTATATCTAACTGGTGAACTCATTCCCCTGCCCCCGCCCCGCTTTTCCACATATAGGGAGGGGGCACTGCAGCTGGGAACCAGAGGTCTTCAGGAAGACGGGGCCTAATAGACTTCTTTTTGGAGAGGTTTTCTGCTATAGGGTGCGTGCACTTGCCAGAAAGAGAGAGACAGAGAGATAGAAAGTGAGAAATCACCCTCCCCCCCCAGGGAGGAAGGCCACACCGCAATCCCTTCTCCTCCATTCTCCTCTCAAAATCTTGGGCATGCACGCATGCACGCACATGCACCCAGAGTGAGTTTAAGCCACCGGCCCGGGACTTGAACTGTGGTTGGCTACATGGAAGTCCAGCGACATAGCCATTACACTAACTGCTGGTCCTGGGGCCTAATGGACTTCTGTTGCCCAGGTAAAGTCAGGGCCTCTCCATGGCAAGCAGTAGAATCGTTCCCCTTTGCTGATGAGAAGTGGGCTGCTCAGAGGTGAAAGGACTCACCAAGGCCTCAGAGAGTGGGTGCCAAAGCCGGGCTCTTCCCATGGGATGGCTAAACATCTGCCACTCCCACCTTGCCCCTCAGGGCATCTAGAGGCTCTGGCTGGCTGATCTTACCCAGAGGGTCATTTTAAAAGAACATAGGAGTATGCATTTGGGCAGAAGCTCAAAGAATGTTCTGGAGCTACACTTTCAGAGCTTCATAGGTTCCAAGGACTACCCTAGAAGAAGAATATTTTTTAGAAAGGCTGCTAGAGGGGTCAGCAGGTGGCATGGTGGTTAAGGGTGCTGGATTTCCACATGGCCGACCATGGTTCAAGTCTC